CCTGTGACATTCATGCAAAAAATTGAAAAATTCTGTAAAATTCCACGAAAACCTTTCCAAAATGCCCATTTTTCGGCCATAACTCCCTGGTTTTTCATTCGATGCTTTCTAAATTTGCCATGTAAATTACATGACACACAAAATTCCTCGCGGAAATGTTTGGTTTAGATTATTTCAGTTAAGTTGAAGAAATGTCCGACAAACTAGGTCCAAAATCGGCTTTTGACATTTAGCCAATCGTTTCTTCATGATTGCCTTCTAAATTGGCATTCGAACAACTTTTGATGCAAATAATTGTTTTGAAGCGTTAAGAGAAAAAAAAACCCGAATAAGCTTTTATTAAACCGACATTTACAGTAAACGTGCGAAAAAGGAAGGTGGCGTTTATGCGTTTGCACTTACAGTTGAATGAAGCACTGACGCCTCATCCCCGTTTTTGTATGATTATTAAATTTGTGAACAATGACATACGATTTGAAAGATATTATGGCCACAGGAAATTTACTGAATATCTAAAACATTGAAACAATTTAACCCCGAGCAACGACCACAAAAGAAGATATTATCGATCGAATTGAATTATTAAGAATAATCAAACATTTCCGAAGAACATACCGTAAAAAAAAACAAGTGGGTAGCTTAGTATACCAAGGATGATCTATGCAAGCGGGGACGCTGGCAGACATTTCTAGACACGGATATGCGGATATAGTGTGGGGGGGATCATTTATATAATTTCAGCTATGTACACCCAGGTAACGTCAGGTACCTCGGCTAGTACACACACACACACACACACGCACATTTTTTTTATTTTTACAAAACAGTGTTCAATGTAAATTTACAGAGTATAAATATTATAAATTAACTGATTGAAAATATGTTTTTTCGCTACCCATCAATAACCCTGTTTGAAAAATGGAAGCTAAAATTTTAAATTTAATTATATAATTAAAATAAAAGCATTAGATCCATTTCATCTTCAGGCAAATATTGGAATACCTTATTTTTAAATTTACTGAGTTTTAAAGGCACTTTAAATTCATAATTTACTGTTTCCAAGGATAAAGAGAAATCCAATCATTCAGACAGGGGCGGTAGCGTGTTCATTTTTATTAACTATTGTTGTATCGATTATGAGTTACGTTCGAAGAAGAGGATACGTTTAGGGGGGTATTTTTCAACGAATTCTGACATCCGTTAAATGCATGTCGTTTCGGGTTTTTTTATTAACGACAATAATATTTCGGCTTGTATACTAAAAGATACTTTTTGGGTTTGTTTGTGTTAGAATACGTTTTATTTAACTACAATTTTAAAATATTTTTATTCTTAATTACTAATAGACTACATTTCTTTTTTCTTTTTTTAAAACAAGTAAACGTAATAGAATTACTTACATTATTTTTTCTCATCAAATATAAGTATGTATATTTCCAGCTTCCATTTTTAAATTTTATCTTTAAATATTATTTAAGGAAATTTTTTGACAATGACGGCAAAAAAATAGCTATTTCATTTCTCTGATTCAGTAAATTTTTATTTTTTATAAACTTAGTAATATATAGTTTCTCATGTATGCACAAAAGAAAAGGGTCATTTAATGACCTACATATTCTAGCTTTTCTTATTAATTTCCATTTTACTGTAAGTCTTTTATTTGATTTTTTTAAGTGCCAGAAATACTTTGAAAGCGATGTCTGATTTCTCTATTTATTTATCCTAGATGAAGTTGTGTTGACTGAACCGCTTTTTGAACTCATGGCTTGTGCAACCTATATAGATTTTTATGTTTTCGGGATTCTCAATACATGAAATATTGCATTGGTATACTAATGATTCCGTGCGACATTTATTTGTAGAGGAGAGTTATGAGGATTTTTACAGTTACATAATTTTTGTTTATCTACATCATTTTTTTTATTTTTATTTTTATATTGTCTAAATTTCTTTCGTTTTTGTCTAAGTGTTTATTGAAGGTATTAGCATAATGTTTCTTAATATTTTTTTCTAAGTTTTCAGTAAGCTGTAACTTAATTTTTGTGTATTTTTATTGAAAATAGTACTTTATTTTCTCTAGGAAAGTGCTTAGCTATTAATGCAAGGAATTTTTGTCCTAATTTGTTCTTTACCATTTGGTTGTATGGGGGTGTATACCAAATTAATTTTTTTCTGTTCTTTCTATGGTTTTCATTTTCCTTTTTTATATGTTAGTTTTGGGCTTTTGTAGCCACTATCTTTTAGCGATTTATTATAGAAAATAACATTTTCATAGAAAATCTTCTCATTTGCCGAATTTGTATTTATTCTTTTTCCGATAGATAAAGGTATATGTTTAATTCTAGATGGAGGATGATTTGGTTTAGGGTGTATCGGTAAAGGATTGGTATATTGGTTTTTATAAGTTATGTTATTTTTCATTAAATTTAATGTTATATCAAGGAAGTTAACATTTTTTAATTTAGTGCTTACAGCAATTTTTAGGTTTAGGCTTTATTCTTTATATAATATCTTTCTAATTTATCAGTTGTATTAATTTCATGGTGTGCTGTAAGATTGTATAATATAAAAATTACCTATGCGAGCAGAAGACTCAGCTGAGTCTAGTGATCCCATTGTGATGTTAAATTGGTCATAATGATTTTTTTATCCATTCTGTATCAGCACCGATGTTTTTTGCATTCATAATAATACTCTTTTCTTCTTCTGTAATATCCGTGAAGTGGGTGGCAAAATCCAACGCATTCATGAACAGTTCTTTAGATATTGATTGATAATAAATTTCAATATCAAACCGCTTGAGTGTACAGTTCATTTTCTCATTGATATAAAATAAACAATATATATATATATATATATATATATATATATATATATATAAATATAATATATATATATATATATATATATATATATATATATATATAAAACCAAATAGGTTAGCTCTATCTCTGATATTGAGCGCTTTCTAATAAGTACCGCGCATATAATATATAAATAATTATACATATATATATTTATTTATATTTATATACACTTTTCACATATATATATATATATATATATATATATATATATATATAAGAACATTCAGGTTTTCACGGCGTAATCTTTAGATCTTTTTTGCATTAAAGCAAATGTCCCCAGCAATCCCTCCTTGGGCCTGCGTTCCTAATTTTCATCATCGACTTCCTTGAGTTGAGTTGAATAAAAAACATTGTTTTACATATTCTTGTTCCTCTTATGATCTGTATTATTTCATGCTATAGGGGCACACTATTTATGAATTCTACTGTCTACTGTCCTATAAAATGCGCCCTGTCTATTATAGTACAGCCACATTTCTAGATGTTTTAAAATTAATGCAGCCGTCCGCCAGCGCCAAATCCTTGAACTTAAGTTGTTCCAAATTCTAATCCACATTATTATCAGTTCTAAACTCGACACACACACATATATATATATATATATATATATATATATATATATATATATATATATATATATATATATATACACATAGTTAATTCTCGCTAAATATCCTGATATATCTGATCGGTTCGATAAGATCAAATTGGTAACTGAGCTAAAAAAAAAGAAAAGAAAATGGCGTACAAACTGTTGCTTACTGTGATAATAAATGACTTAATTTAAAGCCTTTTATTTAATCGTCGTTTTAAAGAACCATTTTTGCCTTTCATTAGTATGGCAGGTAAAATATTTTTTCCGTTTATAGTGATTTTCCAAGCATAGATTATATGTGCCAAAAGGCCTAGACATCTATGAGGATAGAACTCGCAACTCAGCCGTAATTGCTCTTGCAAGACAAGCTTGCTAACCATTACACCACCTGAACATAACCGAAATTTGGTTTTTCTAGGCATACTTTCGACGGGTCCTCCGTCTTGTTTTTTTTTTCGTCTCAAATGCTACCTGAATTTTGCCAAAAACAAAATAGATTCCATGCCTGAGGATGACCCGTTGAAACTACTCGCATATTTAAGGAAGACATAATACAGTTTATAATTTTAAAAAATAAGGATCATAATCATCCAGTGATTAGTGGTTTAATTCATTTTAAAATTTAGTTGGCGAAAACTTTCGCCATTTTATATCATTAGCTTTACTAATTTACTTTTTGTATGAATGTTTCATTGTAACATATATATATGTATATATATATATATATATATATATATATATATATATATATATATATATATAGAGAGAGAGAGAGATAGATAGATAGATAGATAGATAGATAGATAGATAGATTTGATTGATAGATATAATACGTACCCTGACAGTGTTATACGGAGAAATTGCATATGGAATTTTTTTTTACCATTAGAATTATCTTCATCATAAAATTAAATGCATTAACAATAAAACAGAATATGTAAGAAACATAATAATTCCATTGGTAAAAATGTGCTTTTGGCGTCATTAGATTGCAGACTTGAGTCGACTATTTATATATGATGTTCAATGATGCATTATGGGTAGAATGTCTCTTGTGTAATCCTAATGGTTACTTGGTTGGCGGTTTCATAGCTGTTGAGTAGAAACAATTACATACCCTATATCCCTGATACTGTGCATTTAACCGACACATTCAGAATATCTCAAAACTATATTTTATAATACATATATGTGTGTGTGCAAGTTTCAGATTGTCATATACAATATATTCTCGTATATATACAATTAATTGGAAACATATATATATATATATATATATATATATATATATTCTACAGACTTATTCATATATGTGTGTGTGTGTGCAAGTTTTATTTTCTTCAAACTTGAGAGAAATACACCATAGAAAACCTTTTTAATAAAAGTTATAGAAAACACTGGAAACGTTTGTGACAAGGCTAATATATATGTGTGTATACAAATATCATATCGCAATCTTGTGCACATATGTACACACAAAGATATACACGCATAAACCTATATGTGTATGTTTACGGCTTATAAAAACCATATATGTTTTATTTGTGTGTCTCCTGTTTCTTCTTTGAGAAAACGCCGACGCACTCCAGACAGTCACTAAACTTGCTTGAATTGGCGAAGACGTACAAATATGCTTTTATTTCTGGTCTCATCGAAAGGGGAGAGAGATAAGGGTTAGGACTGGAGGAGTATTGCACACAACTGCAAAGCAAGTGTGACGTTCGTGCGATGGAGAAACGGATAAAAGTGGCATAAGAATTCCTATTTGTTCCTCTTGAGGCAGGAGACAGCCGCCGGCAGATATTCAAATAAAAAACAAAATGGCGGATAATATGAAATGCGACACCTACAGCCGACGGCAAAGATGGACAGAGGAAAAGGTGTAGAGGGAAGAGTAGAAAAAAAAAAAGGAAGTGCTATAGATTAGAAAAAGTAGAAAATATATCGGAACGCTTTCATAAAATGAAATGGATAATAAGAAGGGAAAACAAAAAGAAAAAATACGAAGGAAAAGGGAAAAATCAATACAGAAAAGATAATGAGAACTATGATAAAACAAGAAAAGGAAGTATGAAGAAAGAAATAAAAACAGAACGAATAAATATGGACGGAAGCAAAAACTGAATGGTATTATAACAAGCTTATCTTGGCGATGAAGAAAGACAGAATGAAAATGAAAGAAAAGAAAAACAGACAATAGGTAAAATGCAATAAAGAAAGAAAAAATGAATGGAAGAAAAGAAAAATATATAAAAGGAAAAACACAAGCGAGAACGAAAGAAAATGAAACAAATATAATTAAAAAAAAATAATGTAGAAAAGAAATAACGGAATAAGGAACGAAAATAAAGAAGAAAAAAATGAAAGAAAAAAAGCAAGAAATAAAAAAATAAAACAAAAGAAAGAAAATAAAATGTGATAAAAGGGTAAACAAGAAAAAAAAACAAAAGAAGAAAGTAAATGAAAGAAAGAAAATTAAAGAAAGAATAGAAAAGAGATAAAAGGAAAAACGCAAGAAAGAAAGAAAGAAAATCAATGCAATAAAACAAAAAAGAATTAAATGAAAAAGGAAATCACGAAATAAAGATAGAAAATGATAGGAAGGAAAGAATAAACAGATAAAATGGAAAAGGAAAAGAAAGAAAGAAAACAGAAAGAAAAAAATAAACAAAACGCTAAATTGACGAAAATAGAATTCAAGGGAATAAGAAATAATAAAACTCTGATGTCGATATAAAAATAACTTAAAAACACACTAAAATAAATACAGAAATAAATAAAGTCAAAATAAAAAGAATGAAAGAAAGAAAAGTATACACAGATAAGAAGGACAAATGAAAGAAAGATTAAGGAAAGAGAGAAAAAACAACCAAATACAAACGAAACAGAAATCAAAATACTAAAAAAAAGAATTAATAAAGCAATGATGTCAATAAAGGAAAAAGACACGAAAATAAACAAAAAAGTAAAACTTAAAGAAGGAAAGGGAGAAATAAAAAAGGGAAGTGAAATAAATCAAGAAAGAAAGAATGAAATAAATTAAAACTTAAAGAATGAATGAAAGAAATACAAAAAATAAAATAAAGTATGAAATAAATTAAAACTGAAAACTGAAAGAGAAACAAAAACGAAAGAGAAAGAAATTAAGAAATAAAAAATATAAAGAAAGAAAAAAATAAAATTAATGATTGAAAGAAAGAAAAACAAAAACGGAAAAATAGATAAATGAATGAAATAAAGAAAACAAAAAAGAAAAATGAAAGAAAGAAAGTAAATTAAAATCAAAAATTGAAAGAGAAACAAAAAAAAGAAAGAAAAGATATAAATAAATGAAAAAAGAATGTGAAAATTAAAGAATTAAAAAAAGGCAAAAACTGAAAAATAGGAAAATGAATGAAAGAAAGAAAAAGAAAAAAAAGGAAAAAGGAAGGAAATAAAGAATAACAAAAAACGTAAAACGAAAGAAAGAAAACCCCCCAAAAAATGTAAAAAAATGAAAGAAATAAAGAAAGAGAGAAATAAATTAATTCGGAATGTAAAAATAAATCTATTTTCAGCGCAAATAAAAGTAGTACAGTAGAATTGTTGGACTAAAAATAAAGCATGTGACGTTTTCGATCCTCCCTAAGCGCTCAGTTTTTAAAACCTTGCTCTCTTCAAAAATGAATATTTGTTATACCTTTCAACAATATCATAATAAGATGCTGCAACTGTAGTCTGTCCTCGATAATGTTTTATACTTAACCAGTAATCTGCAACCAAGTTGCCTACGTCATCAATCTTGTAAATGTCCACGGGAATTTTTTTTCTTTAGTGTCTTTAACCAAACGATCATATGACGTTGTTTCATAAACCAAATATATATATATATATATGTATATGTATATATATATATATATATATATATATATATATATATAAGAACAGTAACATATATACCCAAACCAAAACGTAACTAATAACTGATACATCAAATACAGCGATAATGAACACCAAAACACCCCTTATCTGGATGAATAGATTTCTCTGTATCCTTGGAAACGTGAATTATAATTTTTTGCTGTGCCTTTAAAAACCCAGTAATTTTAAAAGTTACTCCAAAATTCGCTTGAGGATGAAATGGAACTAATGATTTTAATTTAATTACAAAATTAAATTCGAAGCTTTTAGCTTCCATTTTTGAAACATGGTTAATTTATAATATATATATATATATATATATATATATATATATATATATATATATATATATATGAGGCGAATTATGCTCGTCTTTATATCTGTAGGTCTGTAATATGTGACATATCCGTTTTCTCTATAGTATCTAAATCCTGGCAAGAAATATCAGATGATCTGAATCAAATAAAATATCAGGAAGGAAAGTTTTTCTAAGAGTAGTGAATACTTCATCACCGTAATATATATTGGGCTTACTCGGGATAAAGCTAAAATTCGTTGCGATTGTGGCCCCACCAGACCATCAGAGAAGCCAGGTGCATCAGCAGGCTTACTCGGAAAGAAACCTCAGCAACAGCAGGTGTAGATTCACTTTCAAAGGATCTCATTGGCTGAACCCGACATGTAAACAGGTGGTTAACCAATCTCCGCTTAGCATTTACGTAAGTAGAACCGGGTGTTATATAACCGTCTCAACTGAGAAGGGAAACTCAGAGAGTCTCTCAAATATCCCGAGATGTTTATCCATGCTCGGAGAAAATCCCCAAATACACACACCTTGACATAGATATTAACTGATTGATATGTTTGTTTATCGCCATATCAATTACTTATGGGTCATTTAATGTTGATATTTAATTTTCTTGGAGGCTTTGCTGAAATAAGAATATGATATAAATTATTCTACTCTCACAACTGAATACATGTTAGAAGATAGTCAGCGTTTGCGCATATAAATAATTATGTAGACATGATTTCTAAAGGTGGTGATATATGTGTCTTTTATGTTGTGGTTTTGTTGAAGTTATATTTTGAAATACCATTTAATTTAAGAAATTGTTGGTAATTACATCACTGATATCCTAAATGTTCTTTCATGTTGCATGTTTTGGTTGTTTATTTGATTGCTTCATTCATTTTATTTGGCGGTATATCAACCCCTATGGGTTATTTAATGCCGAAATCTAAGTATTTTGTGCGTAGTTTTATGCTTTCAAATACAGATATTTTTGTACATAATTTTATAATTTCAGAGTATATGTATGTTTCTGTCCTGCGTAAAACGATAAACTACACCCGCGTCCTGCGTAAGACGACAAACTACATCTCTGTACTAAGTAACACGACAAACTACATCCGTGCCCTGGGTAAGTAAAATAAACTAAATCCGCGTCCAGGGTAAGTCGATAAACTAAATCCGCATCCTGGGTAAGACGATAAACTACAACCGTTTCCTAGGTAAAACGATAGACTACATACGCGTCCTGAGGAAGAAGATAAACTACATCCGTGTCCTGGGTAAGTCGATAAACTACATCTCCGTCCTGGGTATGACGATAAACTACATCCAACAGCAAGGCCACTGATCAGGTTTTGAGGTGCGTTGAACCACCACTTAATTGCTGTCCACCCTGACCCGGGGGTGTTAGCACATGTTAGGACCCCAGAGATGGGCAAATAGTTACGCCCACCAGCCTGGTTTCAAAATACTATGAAAGTGTAAAAATAGGTTTTAATACTAGCAATACATTTTTTAAAAGGTTATTATGAATATATTAATAAAAAATTATTACCAGTAACACAATTTTTGAAAAAGAATATTAGCAGCAATACATTTTCGAAAAAAATATTAGCAGCAATAAAATTCTTGTTGGCATTAAATATATCTTGATATGCCGTAAAACAAAACAAAGCAAAATAAATGTATGTTGAGATATATATTTAGTCGCACATAAAATGCATTGTTGTTAAGTTTCCTATAAAAATGTATTTTTATATTTTAGTTTTGCATTAATTGCCATTTTCCTGTAAAATATATATAGGTGGTAATTTTATTATAAAATGTATCGTTGATTTTTGTTTGTGTATTCACTAATTGACTATAGCTGTGAGCCTAACAGCTGACACCACATCAAGTTAGAATGGGCCTGGTAACAACTACAATTAAGAAGTGGTTTCACGATCCAAAAAATCTCCTGATCTGAAGCATTGCAGCCCAGTATAGTTTATCGTCATATCCTACACTAGATATTAATTGACGATGTCTAGATAGGAATAAAGAATAATTTTATGTGTGATTTAGTCTCGCCTATTTATTAGGTATTATATATCCAGTTGTATGGCTAGTTTGTAACCCCGAGGTAAGACAAGTGAAGATCACGAAAGCGTAAGAAACGGGGTTACAAACAACTATCCACGCAACCGAATATATTAGCTCTATCACGGATTTTGAGGACTTTCCTCTAAATACCACTCTCTCTCTCTCTCTCTCTCTCTCTCTCTCTCTCTCTCTCACACACACACACACACACACACACATATATATATATATATTATTTATCAATAAATACTGTTCTGCCAGTCCTTTTTTAGCCAGTTTACCCTGAAGATCCGTTTAAGTGAAACCTAGGTAGGTTTGCCTGGCTCGTTAGGATTTATTCTATATATGTATATATATATAGACGATTGTGTCTTGTATGAAACAGCCTCTCGCCTCTGACTGTTGAATCCATATTAACTTTTATATTTATATTTGCATCCGCTCTATTTCTGATATTAAGCACTTTATCCCGCAATTATAGCAAATCGTAAAACTATATATATATATATATATATATATATATATATATATATATATATATATATATATCAGGTCATCCCATGAGTTCTGTCCGAAATTTAACTTTTTGTTAAAATGAACGAAATTTAAAGACTATTTTATAATGTCTAATAAAGCTGAACATTATTTTTGTTTAGATGCATTTAAACTGATCTAATTTTATTTCCGAGAACAATAAAATTCAATTTTGTTTGATTAAAACCCTGCTAACATGAAGTACCCAAGAACCATTTGAGGCACATAATGCTTTATGAGTTGTAGCAGCCGAAGAGGCTAGAAAAAATCACTCTGTTTAAGAAGATGGTTTGCAAAATTCAGAGGTGGAAATTTCACCCTTAAAGATGAAGATCGAACCGGACGTCAAGTTGAGTTTGTTGAAAAGCTTCTTGAAGTAGCCCTTGAAAAAAAATCCTGCTTTATCAGTTGAGGAATTTGCAGTGGTTCTCAGTTCAAACCATACAACTGTCATCATACATCGTCATCTTCAACAACTTGGAAAAGTTCCTAAACTTGGAAAATGAGTGGCTCATGAATTTTCTGAAAACAACCTCAATCCCGAGTTGACATCTGCTCTTCTCTTCATTCTCGCCAACTTGTTTCACCTTTTTTGGATAGACTTGTGACTGGCGATGAAAATGGATCTTTTATCGAAATGTTAAGCATTGTAGACAGTGGCTTGGTAAAGGGGAATGACCCCAGCCACAGCCGAGAAGAGAACTTCATGGGCAAAAGGTTCTTCTTTCAATCTGGTGGGATCGCCAAGGAATAATCCACTAATGCAAAAATTAATGCTCAAATATACTGTCAGCAATTAGAGCGTTTGAACCAAGCTTTGAGGAAAAAAAAGACCTGCACTAGTGAATCGAAAATATGATGTTTCACCAGGACAATGCGCGACCCCACACAGCAAGAATCACGTCACAAAAGATTGAAGAACTTGATTGGGAGAAAATTCCTCATCCACCTTATTCTCCCGATCTTGCTCCTTCAGTCTACCATTTGTTTCGTAGCTTACAGAATCATTTGGAAGAAACAGCTTTTGTAACACAGGAAGAGGTTAAAACTGACATCTGTGAGTTCTTCGAATCAAAGACAAAAGAATTTTACAGTAATGGAATTAGGAAGCTTGTTAATAGATGGAAGGAAGTCATAGATAATCGGGGAAAAATCATTGTTGATTGAATCTGTAATTAAATGTAACATTTGGTCACTTGTTTTCTTTATTCAAAATTCGGACAGAACTTATGGGATGACCTGATATATATATATATATATATATATATATATATATATATATATATATATATATATATATATATAAATAGATAAACATATAGATAGATAGATAGATAGATAGATAGATAGAAAACTTGCCTGTAGATTCAACTTATAGAGAAGCAATATCATTTTATATGAATTAACATCTGGGAATATGAACATGAAAAAAAATTAGGTGGTGTAATAATTAATTTCCGTTTTGAGAAACTAATTGTAATGGCGTTTTATCCTAAACGACCGTTCGTTGCATATAGTATAACAGGTGATGAAAAATAGGTTCATACGACAATGTTCACCGTAAAAGGAGGTGATTTGACATGCATAAATTTCTACAATATAGCTCCAAACCTGAAACCATAGAAGAAATCTAATGTTGTGTGAGTAGTGGGATTGTCTGGATATTATACATTTTACGTAATAAAACATTAAATGCGCGATTAAACGTCCAGCAGCTGTAAGGTTTACTTGAAAAGTTGCCAGCGCTCGTTAATAGGGAAAATGTTAATCCTCCTTTGTGACAATGCAAGAGTCATATTGCAAGAATAACACAGAATACGGACTTTCGAATCCCGTTGTGTATGTTCTGACCAAGCCGCCATATTTACCTGATATTGCACAAAGTGCTTATTACTGTTTTCATCTTTCGCTACAGAACGTTTCTATAGGGAATACCTTTTCTAATGAAAGTTACATTCAGGAGTTTCGTCTCAAAACACGAGAAGAGATGCCTGATAAGTGTCAATAAGTTACTACAAATAATAATCATAGTCTGTCTATATTTCTGAGATGAGGTATTATGTACAGTATTTACATTAGTCGGACTATTGTCCTCATCTTTGTCGCCATATTTGTCACAACGTTTCGGCCGTTGTACGCTCCGGCCTTCTTCAGGTAGTTGGAATTTCGAACTGAACCCTTTATTTCGATCACTGGGGTAGACTGTTCTAGTTCCACGTGCCATGTTTGATGGATGTCAGTTATCAGTTATCTCCTGCTAATTTTCCCCCTGAAAGTTCTCCACTGCCTTAGCCAGGTATTGAACTCACCTTCTTTTGGGTCTGTCACTGGATCTAACCAACGCCTTTATCCACTGTGCCATGTGTCCTCAAGGACTTTCAGAGGGAAAATAGGAGATAACTGATAACCGACATCCATCAAACGTGGCACGTGAACAGCCTTTGTCCAGTGATCGAAATAAAGGGTTCAGTTCGAAATTCCAACCCCCTGAAGAAGGCCGGAGCGTACAATGGCCGAAACGTTGTGACAAATATGGCGACAAAGATGAGGACAATAGTCCGACTAATGTAAATGCTGTTGTGACGTCGTCCCCCGGTCGCAGTGTCGACTGTGTCGTTCGATCCCGGGGTCGGCGCCAATTGTGACGTCACGTGCTCCCCAGGCTCTGATATCCTGGTCACGGACAGCACCAACTGTGACGTCTTCGCCGCGGCGTCAGTTGTTCGCTCCTCGCTGCTCCAAACGTGACGTTCTAACCCTTTGGTTAGATTGATAGCAGCCTCGCCGTTCCCAACCCGCTTCCAACGCCTGGTTACCAGGGTAACTGCACTGATCTCCAGTCTGCCTAACCACGTTGTGAATTGATCTTAGACAGACGAGATGAAACAGGGTTTTGGGCCGTAATGCAAGTTGAGTTCAACGGGGGTGATAACACACAATTATGTATAAAAGAAAATAAAATAAAACTCACAAGGTCCAACGTATCAAAGAAAAAGGTAACAAACTTTTTATGTCTATTTGCTCGGTACATAGGACTATGTCTACTTCCCCGACCCGTTCTGTGGATTGTGGCACGACGCTTTTTACTAGGCAACTTTAAGACTTCAAGTTGTCTGCTCTCTAAGAAATTTGTGTTTCAGGTGTGTCTTTGGACGAAAGTCGAAAAAACTTATTTCTGTGGTCTTGATTCTAAGTCGCTCTTCAAACTACTTGTTCTTGGTTGAAGAAGAGTCCAGAAGTGTGCGTGAATCTTGGTCAGCTATCTTGACGCGTTTTCAACACTGGGTGCTCATCTCTGCTTGTCGTCAAGGTTCAAAACTTCTCGCCAGGGTCCGCGGCTCAATCTGACTTCTTTTCTCCGGCTTGGGTCGAACAAACTGAACTCTTTCTCTCCAGAGTCTGAATTACTGGTCACTCATCTCCGCCGTCGGTGCGCGAACTAACTTCTTCTCTTCGGCTTGGGTCGGACGAACTTCTTCACTTAGGCCAAACGAACTGGCCTCTCTTGCCCGCAAAGTGGGCGACCGAACTCAGGCCGCCGTCCGCGGTTCCCTCCGCTTGCCGTCCGCGGCTGAAATCTGATTTCTGTGGGTTGGGGTCTCGCTTTTATTGACGCAGTCAAAACTGGGAGTGGGTGTGTTGGCACCAGGGTTTCTTCGATAATTCTAAATACGTATCCACCCTTCTTATTTCTGGTTAGGGATTTTCATTCTTTTCCATTTTCGGTAACTCACTCTCCTCCCACCCCTTACTGTGCCTCTGAGGGGCGTGTACCCGCTTCCCCGCTTCTTCGTATCGGCTCCTTACACTTACACTCCTGACAGGGGCGTCGACCGATTCTCCTCGTGCGTCACGTGACCGCTCTCGGCCAATGAGGTCCTGGTCGGGTATCTTTCCTCCTCCTTCGTGTGTCATGTGATCTTATTTAGCCAATGACGTCTTTAGTCGGGCGTGGACAATCCGTGGCTTTGTTTTGGGAAAGAAATACCTTGCTTAAAAAACAAAAATATTAATTTAAATCGCCCTTATCATGAGCGACTGAGATGACACCTTCGGCTTTTTAACACGTGGTATTTGTCAAGCAGTTTATCGCTAATTGGATATGATCTAAGAAAGGAATTTCTCAGACTCGTTGGCGTTTCTGAAACGGAATAAAAATATTTCATTTTCCCTCCGCTCGAAGGTCTGATAATAAAAATCTTTATTATCTCAAAAAAAATTTGGCAGTGACCACCTTGTGTGGCTTTTTCTAATTCTGAAGACTGTCTATGTTTTCGTATTAATGGTTTGTCTTCATATCCTTAGATACACTTCCCCACCCACTTAGACCTTTACTATCATTCCAATGACACACTTTCCCACTTTGTTACTTATCAATATTTTCATTGTCCCTAAACTTCGTTTCTTCTTTTCTTCTGGGTGACAACCAACTGATAACACACTTCCATTTTTCGCGGATCCGCGGAAATCGGTCAGATGCTTCACCTGAATATTTTTCGACACCTGTTATCTGTCAGCCGTGCGTGTGTGTGCGCGCCTATGACCTGTGTTCGTATTATTTTTTCTTTCTTTCTCCTTCGTTTTCTCTTTCTTTCTCCCAGATCGCTTGAATGTAAAGAAACAATTATTCTTAAAACCCAAAATATATTTTTTTTGGCCTTAAATAATTATTAAATGGTTGATAAACCGTAAAAAAACAAATCATATATCTATGAATATTTCTCTCAGCTCGTCAGGTATGCATGGTGCCACACTGTAAATAATAATCAATACCTGTTTTGTAACCATTTCATCACAAGCAAAACAATGAAGCCACTAAGACGTAGGCGGTTACTAAATGTGAAAGAATATGAAAAAGAAAACATCATTGAGGAGCAACATCAACAAACGAACAGAAACTAAGAAGACAGAAGATAACGATTGAAGTTGCGTTTGAAGATCAAATTCAATTGGTAAGGAAGAACCCGGAAGAGACTTCGACAAGCGGAAAATGCTAGAAAGCAAACAATTTGCATAAAGATTACGGTTATATCTAATAATTTGAAATTAAAATGATTATACCTTTGGTGATGTCAACGAACACCCGTTGCCACTTTGTGATATCAACAAATAATCGCTGTCATTTTTGCAAATTTTCGTTCTCGTAGAGATTTTATAATCGCAGATACAACTATAGTACGCCGTTGAAACAATATCACTCGCAGGATAATACTCGCTCGAATAGTAATCCGTATAGTGAAATATTATAGAGAATAACGGTCCGTATAGTAATAGTGGATAGAAGAGAAATAGAAATCCAAATAGTAATAAAGGATAGATTAAAAATGTGAATCGTTTAGACGTCACGCTACGGTCCATTTATTCGTTGCCTCTATGGTCATGTGATAAACTTAATTAGATAATAGGATCGCTTGTGTTTGCTCCCTGGCGATCTATGTTCAAACTCAAATGTCGGCAGCGACACTTTATTCCTATCTAGCAATATCCTGCCGCAAATGTAACTGAAATAAATGTAATTGTATTTTTAGAAGAATGAAATTGGTAATAAGAAACGGAAACTATTTATGAATCAACCTAATATTCAAACGTCTCGTTAGCAGCCGAACATACACCTTGTGTAAAGCAATGTCATGTTTTTGTAGTGTAAAGATCTCTTGTATTGCGTGTATGTATGAGATCTTGTTATGTTTTCTTTTGTGCGTTATACAAATTCCCAGGTCTCCAGAGCAGCAATTCCTACATAAAAAGAATTTCTTACAAACATCATTAATTATATTTCCTTTTGAATACGGACATATACTCTCGAATATTTGTGAGCAGTTAAAGGCTATATTTTTGGCATTCCCGTCATTTTATAAGCATTCAAATAAGAATTCAATCCATGGAAAATACCCAAAAGGGCAATAAAAAGGAATCGATTGAAAAAAAGTTCGTTCACAAATTATCAATGTAGCAAAGTTTAAGTAATAAAAACAAATAGTTTCCCTTTTCTTCTGAGGTATTTATTTTTGTTTTGATATGTCTTCATAATCAACTCTTATTTCTAAATAATATTATCAAAATGTCGAAAGTAAGATGTTTGCCATGCAATGATGGCGACAAAATGTAGCCTCTTTGAAGGGTTGTTTGCTTCTGGCTATCTCTCTGTGGGGAAATGGAAGTTAGTTTCAGCGACGGTCACTATGTTATTTCTTTTTTCCATTTAGTTTTAAGCCAATACTTACTTGATTCCATGTGAAGCTCAGCCAATTCCCGACTTAATTCTCCTGAGAATTTCCTTTTAGTATTTTTTGATATCTTTTGTATCAAAAGTGACAGTATAATTTATATAATAAATGCAAATGTCACTGTCACACTTTTTCATTTAAAAGGGACACAAATCTCTAACGTTCAATAGCCCGTATTATAGAAATGTTGGATTCCCAAGTTTTTATTGCTGTGACCTTTTCCGACGATTTTATACGTGATTTTATGCGACGAATTCTTTTGTATGATAACAGTTTTTGTAATTTGAAAATAAATTTTGGAATAATTGAAATTAATTATGAAATGCAACAAAAGCCACCTATAAATTAAAAATAATTGTTTGTACGAAAAATAAGTACATATGTACATCAAATTATCTTTAAATTAAGTGGAGACAAAAGAATTATCGTTGAACTTTTGAATGGTGAGCCTAAATATTAACGCAGTATTTAAATGCAGCGATCAATTTTGGGTTCTTCTGTAGTTTATTGTTTCCTATCGCATACGGCAGCTGTATGCCTGGCAAAACGAAATCTCGGCCAACAAGAGGACCAGATTGCAATCAAAAGAGCCAAGGCTGCAGCGAGGAAAAGCAAGTCCTGTGAAAGTGAAAACCCAGATAAAATGGCAACCAGGGGAGCTTGCAATGCTGAGAATATACATAGACTTAGGAACACTCAAACATCTGAACAAGCCGAAGACCGAACCAAGAGCCTTCCGCAGGAGTTAGCTTAAATACTGCCCGTATAATGTTAACTCCCTTCTCTCTCTGCTTTCGCTCATATCATACACCTCATTCAATAACTCTCTGTAGAAAAATGAACCTATCCTACCGATCAGATCGTCAGTTTTTCTCCAGTAATTCTCACCGATTACACCCTCACGCCAAATATGTACTGGATCTCATATTGACTCCAGACCACCAATGATACTTCTACATTCAATCTATTGTCAAAAATGCAAGAAAAAAATGTGGAATTATTTTAACTCACCAGATAGCAGCTGGCTTCCTCCGCTATGTCTTATCATTACAAAAGCGGGATTAAGGCAGAAATGTATTATTGCCGCTATATCTTGGATGAAGCTGCTCAATCCTTAATTTCAAGACTTGATAGAAGCATCTGATTTCTCTTTCTCTGCTTTATAATTACAAAAGCCTGATTAGATCAGAAGTGTAGCATTCTTGTCCTATCTCTGCTGAAGTTGTTCGATCTGCGCTTTCCATTTCTCTCCGAACAATGGTCTCTCATTGACATTAAATTCGATTCAGACAATCTCGTATTTACTGGAGTAAATAAGATGTTTCACTAATATATATTACTTACTTTTAGACAAGTCTCTTATTGCAATTAAGCATTATATTCGAGTTTTTTTTTGGGGGGTGTATGTGCGGGTGTGTGTGCGTATTCGTATAAGTGGTTTCTTTTCTTGTATAAAAACTGTCAGAAAGTTCAAAATACCCAAGAGATTTCGAGTATTCTATTAGACATTTTCAAGAATGTTTTCTTTTGTATTTTAAACTTTTTAACTGAACGTGTAGATTTTCTATTTCTATCTGGAGTGACAGATATGTTTTTTTTTTGTTCTTATATAATTCTTCCAGACCGAGTCAGAACAATGTGTTCATAATGTTGTCTTTTTTTTAATTATTATTATGGCTTCCATTAATTTAGCTTTTACAAATTTGGCCGAGGCTATTATATTTGTATTTTTTTGCGTGTATGGAGTTTCGCAGGGCTCCAAGTGTGATTAAATAAGTCCTAATTTACCTATAGTAAGAGAGATGTAACGTGAGCCTTCTTGATATGTATGTAGTGGTATGTCCAATATAATATGAATTGGGTTTAATCAGGAAGGCAGGAACCTTAAAAGACATTACATATATATATATATATATATATATATATATATATATATATATATATATATATATATGTGTGTGTGTGTGTGATTGTGTGTGTGTGTGATGTGTTGTGTGTGTGTGTGTGTGTGTGTGTGTGTGTGTGTGTGTGTGTGTGTGTGTGTGTGTGTGTGTGTGTGTGTGTGTGTGTGTGTGTGTGTGTGTGTACAATTAATGAGATCCAAACAATTTTGTCTGGATCTCATTAATTGTAATTCCTTATACGCTCTGTAATAAAAATTATATTTTGTGGATCAGTTTTAATATATTAATAGGATCTACTTAGATTATTAACCAGGGATTTTTACTTGACCTATATATATATATATATATATATATATATATATATATTGATATATATATATATATATATATATATATATATATATATATATTATTTTATATATATATATTATGAATACTCATATTTGAGTATAATTATACCCCCTCTCTACAGTGACGCAGCCGTTACTGAAAGGATATCAACTTGTGTGTCAACCACCATATTTAGCTTTTCTCATAATTCATTAAATCATTGAAATTTTTCGGTAAACTCTACTCAGTTAAGCAAAATATAAACCATGACATAAATGTTTTACAAATTAAAAGAGGAAATGAACATTAAATAAATAGGAAAAATTTTAAACTGACTGCTACGAATAATCAAGAGTGGTCCCCCTTTATTTTGTTACTCTCCGCTTTGAGAGAGCTTTTTTTGTTTACTGGGACTATAAACATAAGCTATACTCGAACCTTGTATTCTCAGTTGAATAAAGCTTTCTTAAAGCCTACATCCGCGTACTTTTGTCATTACACTGACTAAATGAAGAAACATATTTAAAAAAAGAAACACTTTCCAAAAACGAACTGAAAAAAAAACATCGCCAAAAAGTAACAGAAGCAAAAGTAAGAAGAAACATCGCAAAATAAAAGAGAAAAGAAACATAGAAAAACGAAACAGAAAAAGAACCGAAAAGAAACATAGCGAAAAAAAAAGAAGCATGAAAAGAAAGAAAAAAGAAACTTAAAATGAAACACAGAAAAGAAACAACTGATAAAGAAACGACAACAGCAAAAGAATGAAAAAAACGAAGAGCAGATAAATAAAATGTCTAAAAACAGGATAATGATTTTTTTTTTTCAAATAACGAAAAATAAATGGTTTTTATATATAATCATGAAAAAGCAAACCGCTCAACCCACTCTGCATTCGACTTACACATCTCACCAAATACCGACGGCCAAAATAAGTTAAATAAAAATATTAGAAAAAAAAAAAACATAACGCAAAATCATTGAATAAACTGACATAATAGAAAGCCTTAAGAACTTGTACCGAACGATGACGGATAGAATTACGGAAAAACGCGGAAGCCAATTTTCTTGTAGAGCCGTTCGCAGCTCGAGTGAAATTGATAGATTCTTCGAGAAAGGATGAAGCGAAGGTAAAATCTGGGTACAGAGGAAATCAAAAGAAGACAGCAAAGGAAGAAAGAGAATGTGGTTGCGAGAGATGAAAATGGATTTGGGAGTGCGGTTGGTGTGTGAGCGTATCGTGCGCTTCCGAAAAAGTGAAATACGGAACGATATCAAATTCTTAAGAATAAAGAGAATTGTCTATTACAAACATATATATAGATAGATAGATATATATAAGATATATATATATATATATATATATATATATATATATATATATAGAGAGAGAGAGAGAGAGAGAGAGAGAGAGAGAGAGAGAGAGATTGTGGAAGAGTTAGAGAATATGTTAATATAGGAATCAAAACTGCAAATCTGAAGATCGCATTGTGGCGTGAAATTGAGTCACTATGCAGTGTTGATTATTAAAAACACATTGTCAGTATCTATAAACACTCTCAGATATAAGCCGGTGATAACTCTTCCCATCTAAATATAACCCAATTTAAACAATGTTAACGGTAATATTAATAATAAGTGTAATTGTTGTGATGATATAACCCAACTTCCCCATTCACGATAATGGACGGACTGGTTGCCGATTAAGTACGACCACAGCGGACATTCGTCAGGTCTTCGTTTGTTAACACCTATTGAGGTTAGCACACTCCCGACTCTGTCTCTGTACTTGACACACCAACATCCGATTATAAACCTATTTTTGAAAACCAACACTCGGGTTACTATGTTTATTATATCTTGCACGAGATATAACAGTAATATTAGCCGTTTTCTTAGAAGGAAACACTCGGGATTCGATAGTCATGTAGGGCAGAATATCGTAACCATAGCAAACAATTAGTTGGCATTTAAACAAACCTTAATTATATAAGGTTTGTTTAAATGCCTACTAATTGTCTGCTATGATTACGATAGTCTTACCTACATTACCATAGGATATATATATATATATATATATATATATATATATATATATATATATATATGAATTCATTTTTTTGTGAATACACGTATTTGAATAATCGCTCCGTTTATTTATAAACGATATATTTATTTATTATCGCCTGCCGGCCTGAAAGTTCGGGAAATCTTATTAAAAAAAACGTTTCGCTCACCAGCAGGATTTGAACCTACGTACCCAACCTAAGAGGTACCTACCGTTTCCGACATGCTCTAACTTTTTTTTAGCAATATTCCCCCGAATATTCATGTTGATGTTACCCAGTCACTTTTCTCCGACGGTCCTCCACTCACTGGTAAAGCCGTTGACCGCTGAGGCTCAGCGACTCCTCCATGCTGGCGTCTGGCCGATGCCCGCTTGGTAAGAGTGTGTTGAGGAGACGTTTTCCCCTTCACTGTTCGGATCAAGAAAAATACTAATCTCACACAGTTTAGCCGGTAGGTCGATGCCGTTGACCGGTATGCGACTTCTTGGAGCCACGTGTGAGAGGTGGATTTAGGCCGTGTACAGTTTTCGCTTCAAAGGTACTACCACTGACAATATATATATATATATATATATATATATATATATATATATATATATATATATATATATATATATATATATATATATATATATATATTGAACTGGCTTCTAATGCTCTGAATTGAGCGGCTTTGAGATGGTAGTCGTAGCACGTGAGGGCACAGCCCTATGGGTGTAAGAGAAACTTGGACGAGTTCCACCAAGGAATATGATCGAACGGCGCTATATCGTGCTTTATTCCTTACATCTTCGTCATCGTCATTTCATAAATTGAGGCCCGTTGATGCAGTTGGGATGTCGTTTGCCTTCTATCCTCACTGTTCGGATTTCAATTCTCGGCAGTGGATGCGCACTGCTGATGAACCCCAAATATACGACGAAACGGCCGTCCAGTGCTTTCTGCATTCTGTTGAGGTTTCTTCTAGATTCGATTAATTACTTAATTAGGATTACTTCAAATCCTCCCAATTATTTCTATCTGCTTGAATCGGCTTCTAATGCTCTGGACTGAGCGGCTTGGGGATAGTAGGCGTAGCTCGTGGAGGCACAGTCATATATATATATATATATATATATATATATATATATATATACAGGAGGGTAAGTCAAAAGTTATCTGCACTGTTTCCTTAATATGTCTTTAGGTTTCTTGAACAACCTTCTCATGCGCGCTTACATTTGGTACCGTTGTGGTACGTGTTCTAAATTTGAACTTGATCGCGTCAGTTATTGGCCGCTGTTATAGTGTAAATATTACCGCTAGCTGTGTGCACCACGGAGTAACAAATACCAGTGATCCGAATCTGCTCTGTTACAGTTTAAACACTACTGCTCCACTAGCAGTGTGCATGTTGGAGAAAAAATTAACATATATAAGTAATGTGAACTGTTCGATAGGTTTTACACACATATATATATATATATATATATATATATATATATATATATATATATATATATATATATATATATATATATATTGTATTTTCCTATAGTTGTTTCCTTGGATGGAAGAGGATATCTCAGAATATTACTAGAAACAATACTAAAGTTTAACCCAAGCACTGTCAATGAAAAGATATGTTTACCCAGGATTTTAACAAACAGGTCTAATTGACTTGCTAATCACGTCATATAATGCTATCACTCATGGAAATTATAACTAAAGTCTACACAGAATAGTTGAAAGTATAATTAAGATGTGGGGTCTGTAGATAATGAATGTGTCAGAGCAGGCATCTACAACAGAGAGAAACGAGTTGCCAGCTATTAAATGCAATAGATTTGATGCAAAGACATTCTCATACCGACTTTGTTTTATATGGGAAATAGAGTCTTTAATCCTACACTATTGTGCGTATGTGCTTGTGTATGCGTTTGTGTTTGGGTGCGTTTGTGTTTGTGCATGTTTCTTTGTTTTCATCTATGTGATTGTGTGTATATGATTGCGTTTGAATGTATGTGTTTGGGTATCTGTGTGTGTTTATCTCTCCGTGTGTGTTTCTTTGTTTTTGTATGTGCACCTTTGTGTTTTTTGTGTATTCATGCGTAGGTGTTTATGTAGGTGTTTTTTGTGTATTCATGCGTAGGTGTTTATGTAGGTGTTTTTTGTGTATTCATGCGTAGGTGTTTATGTAGGTGTTTTTTGTGTATTCATGCGTAGGTGTTTATGTAGGTGTTTTTTGTGTATTCATGCGTAGGTGTTTATGTAGGTGTTTTTTGTGTATTCATGCGTAGGTGTTTATGTGTGTTTTGTGTTTCTGTTTGTTTTGGTGATTTTGTGTGTATGTGTGTGTGTGTATTTGTTTGGTGGTTTGTGTGTATGTATTTGTATGTGTATGTGTGTTTAGTGTTCGTGTGTGTATTTGTGTGTGCGCGCGCGTGTATTCGTGAGTCGATGTTTGTGTGTGTGCTTTTGTGTGTGTGTTTGTTTTACACCCGGGTCATTGTGTTGGTTTCTGTTTGTTTGTCTGTTTGTTCGTGTGTGTCTGTGTGTGTGCGTGTATATCTATCAGTGTGCGCGTGCGCTCCAAGTGAAAATATGAAAATATGAGAAGCAAAGATACATGTCCTCAAGATAAAGAATAGCAAACATAAAACACGATTTTTAATAAAGAAAAATCGGTTGTTTTCTAAAGAAGAATAAGTTGAGAGAAAACACCCAAAATGAATTAAAAGAAAAGAGAGAAGAGTGAATGGGAGAAAGGAACATATTACGAAATATCGTTCAAATATGAGAGTTAAGGGGAGAATGCATGGAGGAAGAGAATCCATGGCCAAGAAAGAAATGAAGGAAATGTGAAAGATGTCGTTCATAAATATAAAAAATACAAAGAAAGCAAAAACAAAAATGTCTTATGTAGTGATGAAAATACAAGTTTACAGGAATGGAGGAAGCAAAGGAATAATGATAGTTAGTAAAATAATGAAATAGCGAAAGAAAAATGAAAGAATTTTGAGATCTAGTTTAGTTCAAAAGAAAGAACGAAAATAAAAGCAATATATATATATATATATATATATATATATATATATATATATATATATATATATATATATATATACATATACACACACACACACACATATATATATATATATATATATATATATATACACACACACACATATATATATATATATATATATATATATATATACACACACACACACATATATATATATATATATATATATATATATATATATACATACACACACACACACATATATATATATATATATATATATATACATATACACACACACACACACACATATATATATATATATATATATATATATATACACACACACACACACATATATATATATATATATATATATATATATATATATACACACACACACACATATATATATATATATATATACACACACACATATATATATATATATATATATATACACACACACACATATATATATATATATATATATATATACACACACACACACACACATATATATATATATATATATATATATATATATATATATATATATACACACACACACACACACACACACATATATATATATATATATATACACACACACACACACACACACATATATATATATATATATATATATATATATATATAGCGCAGATATAATTCAAAATAAAATAAAATTGTAAGAATCAAAGAAAATTAAGAAATAAATAAGAAAAGATGGATGGAATGAACAAATTGATATATATATATATATATATGTGCGTGTGTGTGTGTATTTGCGCGTACGAATGAGAGAGAGAGCGTGTGTCTATGTGTGTAAAGGGATGATATAATGAAAAAATAGAAATGTAAGAACGAAAGAAAAAAAGACAAGGAGAATGAAATGAAAGAATTAAATATATAAATATATATATACATATATATATATATATATATATGTGTGTGTGTCTTACAAGTTTGTGACAAGAAGATACAAAAAAGGAAATAATGATGAAAGAAAACACAAAGAAAGAACAGGAAATTCGGCAGTTGCTCATGATATATGTCATAAAATAATGAAAGTAAGTAAAATATATGCGGATTGACGAAATTTAAGAAAAAAAAGACAGGAGGAAATGTAGAAAATTAAAAAAAAATGACGGTCGTGAAAATAATAGAGTATCGTAACAAAGCACGAACAAAAGTGGGGCGGATAAAATGGAGAAACACTCGACTACCTTAAGTACATTGGAATGCTTTGTTATCACTTTGTAGATTATTTAAATTCATTAAATATCTTTAAATTGTAGCTTTTTTCAAAGATAATAATGATTTATTGATAAAAGTTCTACTAATTTACTCATTGCTGGCGGAGGCAAGAGATGCATTCAGATTTTCCATTTATCGCGTAAGTCAATTTTGCCAACACAACTGTAATTGGAACTCGGCTATCGGAGTTCAAATTCATAGAAGTTACCCATTACACCAATCGCACACCCAAGCTTACAACACCTGGAATTCACCCATCAAGGCACTGCCCAGGCTCGTCGTTGCTTCACTTTCGTGATCCTACGAGAACCGGTGTTTAAATTTTATATGTCCGGAAGCCATCTAGGGTAACGTAAATGAAAAGAAAGAAAGAAAGAAAGAAAGAAAGAAAGAAAGAAAGAAACGCGGATCGGAAAAAATAAAGAGAAGAGAAAATCTTAAAAGAAATAACAACGAAAGAACAAACATAAAATAAAATGCAGGATGACGTTAAGGAAGGATAAGAAGGAAAGTAGAAATAAAGGAAAGAAAGAATTAGGAAGACCCCAGCTATAAAAAAGGAAATAAAGAGGAAGACAGAAAAAACACAGACAAGACGAATAAGTCCGAGAAATCTAAACTCAATCAAAAGTCCAAAGAATGTCAAGAAATAAATGAGAAATAGGAGAAGGACAGAATAAAAACTGTAAGAATAAGACACAAATAGCATTAGGTTGAGAGTGAGTCAGGTGGAGGTTTGGCGGAGGGGAGAAAATTGTTCGGTCACATCCCAAATGATAGTCTTCTTCTCAATTGGCAAGAAGAAAACAAATGGTTGAGATGTATATTACAGTTTTGGATGAGGGAAATTATATGTGTCCCTCGACGACGGATTTTTACCAGAATCTTGTTATAGCGGAATCACTGTCACTTACGACAGAGCAAAACACGTATCACAATAAGAAAAAAAAAAGTTTTGACACAAAATATACGCCATAAACGTAAAAAATAGAGAGAAAAGAAATATAAAACATCGCGTAATAACATTAACTACCACCGAGAATTGCAAGGACTTCTTTTTCGTAGAATAAGACATAAAAATGATAGGGCGTGTATTATTTCGCAAACCGATACGATGGATTTTCCGCAGGCTAACTTATTTTTTTTGTTTGTTTATATATATATATATATATATATATATATATATATATATATATATACACTAAATGATAATGTAAGTCATGTTTTCCTAGTAATTATATATTTTCATTTTTTTTTCTTTCTTCCTATCTTGTTTTTAGGTAGAAACCGTTTGTAATTTTCTTTTGTCCCCGATTTTAAAAGTTTACGAATGCAATCCATGACATCGAATGAAATGTCTCTGTATTCTTTCATTGTGTTTCCGGGTAGATTGAGATATTCCTTCCATGATAGCAGACTTATAATAGTGATTTTACAAGCGTAGCTTAGATGTGGCAGAAGGTCGAAAGTAGAGAGCACCCAGTGAGGATCAAACTCACTACTCAGTCGTAATAGTTCTAGCGAGAGAAGCTTGCTAATCATTACACTGCCTTGAGGTGCCCGAGCAGACTCATAATATCCACATTTCATTTGACATGTATCTGCTCTCATATGAGCTTGGAGAGAAAATCCGGTCACATTTCAAAATGGCAAATAGAATCAAATGATTCTTCGTTCTTAATTGATATATGAATAAAATTAATACTCAATTTCGTTATAGATAATAGAATATCATAGTTACATAGGCGTTGTAAGTTCGATCCTCTGGTCGGTCATGTGCAGTTGCACTCGATAGAAACAATCTTTTAACAACTGAAACAGACCGAATAAAAATAAAAATAATTTCGATATCCCTAGACATCAAAAGTGGAATGAGAACAGTCTAACCAAGTAGATTAAATAAAGTGTTCATTTCAGAATTTTAGGTTACCCACATTTATATACACTTGATGAAGGGCCGAGGGAACAACGACCGTAACGTTGTGATAACAAAAAAATCGAAGAGAATAATCTGTATATAAATAGTGTAAAGTGTTCAGTTCAGAATTCTGTGTAGGTTCCCCAGATCGGTATACACCCGAGGAAGGCTGGAAGCCATAAAAACCGAAATGTTTTGATAGCAAAGAAAAAATGAGAACAATAGTCCAGATAAAATAGTGTAAATAAAAATACCATTTATTTGCCTGCTTTTAATTTCTCGCACGTCAATTTAGATTATCATTGTTATATATATATATATATATATATATATATATATATATATATATATAGTTTGTCTGACGATGGCTAAAGCGTGAAACCCAGGGTCACAAACTCACATCTATCCAACCAAATATGTTAGGTCTATCTCTGTTATTGAGCGCTTTCTAATAAGTACCGCGCATAGAATATATAAATAATTATACATATATATATATATTTGTTTATATTTATATACACTTTTCACACACACACACACACACACACACACACACACACACACACACACACACACACACATATATATATATATATATATATACGTAAACGATACCACAGGTGTATGGATACACCTTCAGATTTCTAGATGGTCAGTGTCTGAAAGCGGATCTATTAACTGATATAGCTTTTGTATCTGAATGGAGGAAAGACTGGTTTCTAATGTTTTGTATCTCCAAAAGAAAACGTTTCATAATTTGCGCCAGTTCAAACGAACGATTGTACTGTTATTAACACGAACGTTAGTTGGGACTCACTTGCTACCTCATTAGAAACTCGTATATACGTACCACCGTCAAAGATGGCAGAAAAATAATAGGTCCCTTCAATCGCTTCAGAAAGTACATGTTTTTTCCTGGTATGACCTATCTATCGAGGTAAGAATAGAATAAAAAATGAAGTATTGCTGCCATATAGTCACTGAATCTGCATAGCCCCCGTTGCCTAGCCTTGAAAGAGTTCAAAATCATTTACTTGGCCTTGTAGCTGATGAAGTATTTTTACGCTGCAGGCAATGCTGTTAGCCTCCTTTTAATCTACCGCTATTTTCAAGACAAATTTTCAGATGAGCTAGTTCCCTTATTTTCATCCTTTATTTGACATCAAGCATCCGTCAGGCTACGTATAGTTGAATATTCCCCATTCTCTTCATATTCCAGGGCAATTTCTGCGCCAGAACTGTTACATTTTGGTATAGACTCTAAGGACGATGTTTATCCTATCGTAACCTCTTTAAATCTAGGCCCAGCATTTATCTCTCCTATATATCCCAATAATATGTACATCTTACTACCTCACATTACGCCATTACAAAAAACTTAATTAACTCTCTACCTTGAGTGGATTTTGCGCCTTGAATGAATTTATTTTATAATAGTATTAAAACATTCTTTCGAATAGAAATAAGAACTCAATAAATTTTTTGTAACTTCAAAATTAATAAACTGTTTCCTCCTTCCAGATAATATGAAATAATCTAAAAAGATGATAGTCAGATGGAGAAAGATCTAGAGCTTAAGGGATAATAAAAAAAACAAGCTTCCATAATATTTTCCTGATTGACTCAGT